AATCCTCAAGATCCCCCAAATTCTCATACCTTACAACTTATCTAACATCTAAGATACATTTAATTCCCTTGAGAGAAAAATTTTATTTTTTCCATTTTAGACTACCCTGAAAATTGGCCTGGAAATCTTTCTGATCCCTTGGAGGAGAAACACTCAACTTAAAGACCACCTCATACTTCCGTCACTGCCTGAAGGCCCCAAAAGTCTGACCTGTAGAGCACTGAGTCAGGCATACCCATTGACAGATGGGAAAAGGACGACGCACATCATTTAAGGGAACCCAGTAGCCTGAAGGAAAGAACCAAATAGATTTCAATAAATTCAAAAGTATTTCTGAACTTTCTATAATTTCCCACAAATGCAAAAACCCTTAATATAACATTTGTGATCTCATGGACATGTCTTTACTACTTTTACTTTTTAAGAATATTTGCTTGATCATTTTCACTAATGCTTTTTCTTGATGAAACTTATCATCAATTTATCAAATAAACACACACACACATCCTTTGGGATTTTAAATAAAAACAGAGATTAATACGTGAAAACTGATATTATAATATTGAGTTTTCCCATCTAGGGACATGATTTATTTCTAAGAAATTGCAAGAGCCACAGAGAAGGAATTTATATTTTATTTGCCTCTGATCCCCACAGCCCAGCAAACTGCCTGGAAAATGATAGATACTCATTAAATATTTGCTGATTCTTTATCTTCCTCAGGTTTAAATGAAAGGTAAATGAATTGGGAAGCTTTTCTTATGCTCTGGGGTTGCTTAATTGTTTTGTAAATTCTGATAAGTCTGTCTGGCTCTGGTGGCTTTTAGTGAAACTTCTAATGTCACTTTCAGTATCTCCAAAGGTTCTTGGTCTATTTAGGTTTTCTACTTCTATGTCAATCTCATTAGTTCCTATTTTCCTAAAACTCACCTAACGCTCACCTAAATCTTTTTGTGTATTTGCATAAAAGTATGGTAGTGTCTGTTTATGATATGAATCAATTTTGTATCCGTGGTAACCTGCGGAAAGAAAACAACACCCCAGTTCCACATTTAGGTAAGGCCGGAGTGAGTTCTTCACTAGAATAGTAGAAGAGTAGGGGTCCCTGGGTGGCTCAGTTGGTTGAGCATCTGACTCTTGATTTTGGTTCAGGTCATGATCCTAGAGTCGTGAGATCGAGCCCCGCGTTGGGATCTGCACTGAGCATGGACCCTCCTTAAGATTCTCTCTCTACCCCTCTCCCCTGCTTCTCTCTCCTGCCCCCCTACCCCTTTCCCCTGCTCACTCATGCTCTCTCTCTCTCTCTCTCTAAAATAAAAAAAAAGAAAGTTTAAGACTAGTATAGGAGCAATACCCTGGAAATCAGGCACATCAGAAAGTATGGGTGCCACTCAGCCCCAATACCGAATCTGAGTCCTTGTGACAGAGATTCTGGACTTCAAATCAGAAAGCTGTTTGCACACCTGCTCTGTCATGTACTAGAGATGTGATCTTGGCCAAATTACTTAATCTCTCCAACATTCGGTTTCATTTATAAAATGCAAACAATAGGGGCGCCTGGGTGGCGCAGTCGGTTAAGCGTCC